CCAGCCCCTCACTGGGGGATTCTAGGCAGGGGCTCTACCACTGAGCCACACCCCAGCCCCTCACTGGGGGATTCTAGGCAAGCACTATTCTGTTGACTCATGACCCTATCCCTTACTAGAGGATTCTGGGTAGGTGATCTACTGCTGATGCACACCCTTAAGGCCTTCACTAAAGATTCTAGGTAGGCGCTCACTATATTACTGAGCTGTTTTCCCAACCCTCCAGGCATTAGAATTCTAACACATTTCCCAGGCGGCTTTCCCATTAAGTCAGGACTGAAATACTACTGAAGTGGCTCCCGGACAAATGCACTCAGGGTTCCTGTGACATAAAGACCAGGGACTTCATCTTCTTACTAAGTTATGTCGTATGTCCTATCTGAATGGCTTCATCAACCTCAGCAGCTTCAGGTGACTCCAAACTCTCACTACCCAGCCTGGAAATATCTTAGACTCAAAAATGTAACCAGGGGGACCTGGGCATGTTGGTGCAGGATTTTCACTTAAGCCACTCAGGAGACTCGGGCAAGAGTTCAAATCCTGCTTGGATGATATAGTTAGTTCAGAGCTAGCAACTTAGTGAGACCCTATCTCAAAAGAAAAAGAAATAGAAAAAGTAAACAAAGGTCTGGGGGTGTGGCTCAGTGGGAGAGCCCCTGCCTAGAATCCCCCAGTGAGGGGCTGGGGTGTGGCTCAGTGGTAGAGCACCTGCCTAGAATCCCCCAGTGAGGGACTGGGGTGTGGCTCAGTGGTAGAGCACCTGCCTAGAATCCCCCAGTGAGGGACTGGGGTGTGGCTCAGTGGTAGAGCCCCTGCCTAGAGTCCCCCAGTGAGGGGCTGGGGTGTGGCACCCAGAGGTAGGACACCTGCAGAATGTGTCAGGCCCCCCTGGTTCAATCACCTATACAGTTAGAGAAGGAGGGAAGGAAGGAAAAGGAGTCAGGGAAAGGGAGGAAGGGAGGGGGGAGGAAAGCAGGCAGGCAGGCCTTCCTTGCGTTCTGTGGCAGTGGCCGGCCCCTCTTTCTGTCTGGCCGCCTTGGTCCCTCAGAGGCTGTCGTCCTCCACAGCAACAGCACTTCCCAGCCCCCTCGGGCCAAGCAAACCATGGTCTCCTGTGCTCCGGCTGAGAAGATCCCTAACTGTCCATTCACCAGCCCCCTCTCTCCTCTCCAGTAAAACCATGTCCTGAGCCAGACTGTGGTTTTGTGACTGGAAGGCCAAAGCCGTGAGTCAATAGCATCTACTTATCTAGACCAAAGGCTTGTGGTCACCATGTGTGTGGAAGGAAGGGCTCCCAGGCCTGAGTGAGTGCCTGAGTGCTGCAGGGCCAGTCCATGCCTGGTGCCACTGAGCTGTGCTCTGGGATGCGACTGGAATAACCCCCAAACTAGCCACCCACTGCCTTGGGCGTATCTTTCCCACAGCCTTCAGAGCCAGGAAGTCTGACTTCTCACTTGCCTGTCTGGAACTTCTGATGGCTTAATCCAGCCCATGCTGGAGCCGCTGACGTTTTTTCTTTCTTTCTCTCTTTCTTTCTTTCTTTCTTTCTTTCTTTCTTTCTTTCTTTCTTTCTTTCTTTCTTTCTTTCTTTCTTTCTTCCTTCCTTCCTTTCCTTTCCTTTCCTTTCTTTCTTTCTTTCTTTCTTTCTTTCTTTCTTTCTTTCTTTCTTTCTTTCTTTCTTTCTCTCTCTCTCTCTTCCTTCCTTCCTTTCTTCTTTCTTTCTTTCTTTCTTTCTTTCTCTGTGTGTGCATATGTATATAAGTGTGTACGTGTGTGTGTGTGTGTGTGTGTGTGTGTGTGTGTGTGTGTGTGCATGCGCGTGCATGTTGACATCCAAATCAGAAGTCAACCTTAGGTGTCATTTCTCAGGTCCCAGGTGCCATCTATCTTTTCTTCTTTCTTTCTTTTTTAGACAGTCTCTCTAGGTAGCCCTGGCTGTCCTGGAACTCCCTCTGTGGATCAGGCTGGACTGAAACTCAGAGATCTGCCTGCCTCTGTCTCCCGAGTGCTGAGATTAAAGACATGAGTCACCACCACCCGACTGCTTTTTTTTTAGACAGGGTTACACTGTGTATTTCTGGCTGGCTAAGAACTTGCTTTGTAGGCCAGGGTGGCCTTGATCTCACAGAGATCCCCCTGGCTCTGCCTCCTGAGTGCTGGGATTAAAGGTGTGAGCCACCACTCCCAGCTCACCATGCTTTTTAAAACAGGGTCTCCACTAGCCTAGAAGTCACTAAGTAGCTAGAATGACTGACGGGCAACCACAGACTGTCTCTGCCTCCCCAGTGCTGGGTTACAAGTGTGTGCCAGCATGTCCAGCTTTTTTATGTGGACTCTAGGGACTGACCTCAGGTCTATGCCTGCACAGTTGGCTCTTTACTGTCTTGCTATCTTTCCGGGCCTGGATCAGCCTTTGTCCTCATCTGAGTGTGCCTACATGTATTGATGGTCAGGTTTGATTAGCAAGCCCACTTGAGTGGTTTTATTCTTGTGATTCCATTGGCTGCAGACAATGGTCCCCCTGACTACCTGTACCCAGAAAGGACCACTCACACCCCACCAGCCCTGGCCACAGCGTTGCTCTGGAGTCCGACAGCCACCACTCCTTCCTCTACTGCTCGGGGGCAGGAAGAGAGAAGAGACAATTGTGTGTCCACCCGACAGAGGTCGCTCATCCTGGATGAGGCAAGTACAGCCATGACATTTATGTCATCCCCATCCTGTGACAAGCAAGGACAGTTATTCCTGAAAGGGTGGGGTGTGCAGGCTTGGTGAGTTGGAGACAGACTTTCTGCTATTCATTGGGGGACACGATGCTCTTGTAGAGGTCAGAGGTCAACCCGTGAGTGCCAGCTCTCTCCTTCCACCTTGTGGGTCCCAGGGCTCTAACTCAGGTCAGTAGACTGAGTCCACCAGGCTTCCCAAATTGGGACTGGTGACTGAGTCATGGCACCAACCTTTGCTGTTTCTTAGCAACAAGCAAGGCATGTTAAAAAAAAATCGACGAGTCTCTGGGAAACTTCTCTAGAGCCCCAAGTCCTTGTGCTTTTCTTCTGGCGGTGACAAGATGCCAGACAGAAGCAACTTAAAGGAGAAAGGATTTGTTTTGGCTCACAGCTTCAGACTATCACAGTCAGGGCTTGTTATGGAATATCACTTCAGCTGTGTAAAGCCGTGTTACGTTCGTGTTGCGGAATATTTCTTTAACTATGTAAAGGTGTGTTGCATTTGTTTATGTTGCACTTGTTTAATTACATGTAAAGATGTGTTGCATTTGTTTCACCTTGCCTGCCCAAGGCACCTGGTTGGTCTAATAAAAGCTGAATGGCCAATAGCTAGGCAGGAGAAGGACAGGCAGGGCTGGCGGGCAGAGAGAATAAGTAGCAGGAGGAGTCTAGGCTTGGGGGAGAAGAGAGAGAATGAGGAACAACAAAGAGAGATGTCCAGGGCCAGCCAGAAAGACATGGAGTAGGATATACAGAAGGAAATAAAGGTAAAGGCCCTGAGGCAAAGCCCAGATGAAGAGAAACAGGTTAATTTAATTTAAGTTATAAGAGCTAGCAAGAAATGAGCCTAAGCTAAGGCCAAGCAGTCATAACTAATAATAAGTCTCTATGTCATGATTTGGGAGCTGGTTGTCAGCCCAAAGAAAGCCTGCCACAGGGTTCTGTAAAGAAACAGAGCTGAGCCGGGCGGTGGTGACACACGCCTTTTTTTTTTTTTTTTTTTTTTTTTTTTTTTTTTTTTTTTTTTTTTTTTTTTTGGTTTTTTTTTTGGTTTTTTCGAGACAGGGTTTCTCTGTGTAGCTTAGCGCCTTTCCTGGATCTCGCTCTGTAGACCAGGGTGGCGCACGCCTTTAATCCCAGCACTCGGGAGGCAGAGCCAGGCGGATCTCCGAGTTCAAGGCCAGCCTGGGCTATAGAGCGAGATCCAGGACAGCCAGGGACACACAGGGAAACACTGGCTGCTTCTCTCTCTCTTCTCTCTCTCTCTCTCTCTCTCTCTCTCTCTCTCTCTCTCTCTCTCCAGTGACCCACACACCAGACCTTGCACGATCTCCAGTCTCCCCAAACAGCGCCCCCATCTCAGTAAACCCAGTGGAGGAGACATTGGGGACTCGAACCACAGCAAAGGCCAATCAGGAAGGGCCTCTGAACAGTCCCTCTTGGCTGTTCCCGTGATAGGCCCAAGCGATGTCACATGACTACAGCTTTGGGCCAATCACCATCTTCTTGCCCCTGGCCTGCACCTGTTGCGGCTCTCAGATCTGTCAACTGGGCCACAGGCAGCGTCAACCAGCTGTTCAGCCTCAGGGCGGGGGCAGAAGGGAGGAGGAGCCTTGCAGTTGGTTTTTCTGGAAGCATCCCTGTCCCATATGCTCTCTTCCCCACCCCCACCACTCTTGGGCAGCTCCAGAGAAGGAGCGACCGCAACAGAGAGGCTAGACAGGATGGTGGCCCGGTGTCAAAACAGATCCCACTGGGTCCCACTTCATGGCCAAGCGAACGGTGGAAATCCTTAGAAGCTAGTAATTCAACAGAAACACAGGAGAAAGAGAATACCAGCCAAGTGGGCAGGAAAACCTTGGCCCAGAAAAATGTCTTCTGGGCCAGTTTCCTCGTGGGATCAAAGACAGATTCTGCTGCACTGGTCCAGCTCCTGTTAGGGGCCCGGTAACGTCCCGGGCAGTTAGTACCCCAGCCATCAACCGTTCTGCCCAGGCCATAACCTGTGTGGGGGGCTAACCACACCCATTCCACAGATGGTGAACTGTCACAGACGACAGGGAACCGGGCTCTGCCTTGCAGCCCGTGGCTGTTTTCAGGAAAACTGGAATCCCGCCCCCCACCCCCACCCCACTCCCCACTCCGGCTCCCCTCAGGCCCCCAGATGTTTGCACCTGCCTGCGGGCCCACAGCTGGCCACCACCAGAGGCTTTTCCACACTCTAGGCTTCCACCCCATCCTCAGGCAGACTGTAACAGTAGAGAAGCCAGGGGACTTCGTGGCCAACGTGAAGGACTTTAGTAGGTGTTAGAAAAAATAGTCAAGTGTGAAATGAATTCCTGCAACCTCCTGGGCATGCTCGAACCTTCCTCTCGCCTTCTGACAATCCCACAGCTAATAAATCAAAGGCAGCCACAGCCAGAATGGCCAAAGTAGAGCCCGAGGTGGCTTTTCAGAGGAGCCACCCAGAGGCCAAGAAGGAACTGCTCTGGCTAGCTGCCCCCCTTCCCCTCCAGTTCCAGCTTCCTGCGTTTGCTGAGCTGGCCAACGTGGAGAGAGAATCGCGGGCAATGGACTGTCCACAGCGAGGGCTGGGTCCTGGTTAGGACAGCTTGCCAGATTTCCTGGGAGGCTGGGGAGACGGCTTGGTTGACTAAGTGCTCCCCACAAAAGCATGAGGCCCTAAAGCCAATCTCCAGAACTTACAACAACAACAACAAAAAA